TTTTTTTTTTTTTCAGAAGAATTCTAGTTTTTTTTAAAATTGTTTTACCATCTGATGTAAGGTGTTAGCGCGTTGGTTTTTTCTGAAGAAACGAAGCAGCTTCAAAATTGAAAAACGGCCGATATGATGTCAGTGTCTAATTTTACGTTACTTAAATTTTGGAACAGTCAATTTGACTGTTAGTTCTATGACACTGTAGTCATTTTTAATTTGCATATTTGAATTTGTATGGGGTGAATCTTGATATGGTTTGATCTTCTCGGGTGCCGCCGATACTGTTTCAATAAAGTGTTACTGAATAGTTGTAAAGACAAGTCGCTAGTGGTGGAACAGAAGTTTTGCGTGACAATAGAAAAATTTTTGGTTGGAGTTACTGTCAGTCAGTTAATTTCAGAAGCAGATGAACATATTGGCATATAATTTTTTTGAGAATCTTTTTCGTTTATATACGGAGTTGATGATAAAAAAAAATAAATTTTTTTAACTTCGGAAATTCTGTTATTTTTTTTTTTAAAGTATCCATCAGATAATTATATTATGAAATTTTTTTGGTAAAAAAAATTTTTTTCATTTAGTGTTTAAATGTTAAATTGTTGTTGAAAAAAAGATTTTTTATTTCAAAAAAAAAAACTTTTTAAGGTTTTATTTTTGGGTCAAAAAACAATCGCTGAACTTCTTCTTCAATCGCGTTTTTCTTAAGAAGATAAGTTTACAACTTCTTATTATCAGAAGTTTATCGCAGTTGATAAAAGCAGAAAAAAACTCGTTGAGAGACAAAAAAAAAAACGGAGAAACAGAAATTTCTAGACCAAATAAATACGGAAAAAAAAGTGCTGGAATTTCAGTAAGTCATGTGATACAGAAACGGTTGAACTTTGCAGTTTGCAAACGATACCAGTTCTGTGAAGGTTCAAACAAAACTTTATACAAGAGTATTCAGTTTTGTATTTGGTGGGGTTTGTTTTATACATACTTATGGAAGTGGTGTAAAATTGTTCACTTTTGAAACAACTTTTGATTTATTGACAAGCTAACACTTAGCAGACAAAATGTTTCAAAAGTAAGCAAAGTGACCAGACCACTGTCAGAAGTTGGGGTGGTTGCTGATGGGTATAAAAAGCAATTCATTATATCGTATTGGATGCATATTGATGACACTCTTAAAGTTTCAGAGTTTTTGCTAGACTTCCCTGCGTGTATTGAACACGTTTATTGAATTACCAAGCTAGATAGAATTCAGTGATAATTTTAGCATAGGAAAAAAAAATCTAACGGTTTTTTATAGTTTTTGTCTTAGCATTCACGATATGTCTAAGAAAATCAAAGCAGAACGCGATTTAACTCCGGGCTTTGGAATAGGGGATAAGATCCTGTTTTTTGATGCAGCTAACTACAGATTTATTATGAGGTCATATAGGCAATTCTACAGTTTTACTGCTTTTGAACAACTGGTGCTATCTGAAAGAGTTCCTGAACTGATTACCATACTAAGCATTACTGATTTTATTGGTCACTGATACACCTTAAAAGGTTGATCCACGCATAAGAAGTATTATCTGTTAGTAATGCAAAAAATAATCATGTTACAAGAAATCTCTTCATATAGCTTATGAAATTATACAGAAAATACGACTTTTTTCTCACACTTTATCAATAAAAATTATTTTTATCATTAATCAGCTTCTACAACAGTTGGCTGTTACATAAAATAGTGAACGTTGCTAAAATACAGCAGAGAACCCAAGTTTGCCACTAAAATTATGAGACGAGAAGAAAAAAAAAGCCTTATTTGCAGAAGAAAATAAAAAAGAAAACAATTGTTTGAGATCATCTATTAAACTGTTTCAGTGATTATTTTTTTTAGAAGTATTCAAGAATTCATTGGCGGAAGAAGACATAAATTTTTTGTTATTTGAACCTGATGCATATCAATGCTTAGGGAGTGCATATTTGATTATCTGAATGAAAAATGGTACAGAATTACAGTTTTAGAGTAATAAATTTTTGCGGCAAAAAAATGAAGCTATGTCTTTGAACTGTTCTATTAAAGTTTAAGCTAGCTTAATGATCTGTCAAGAACGATAGCAACAATGGTTAGTTGTTGATGATTATAGTTATTACCTTTGGACTATGTTCATCAGTGGCTGATTGATATTGGCTAATACAATGATTAGCAGTGTACAAAGATGGATAAACACCGAAAAAAAAAAAGAAGACTGGTTCAACCTATTCATCTTAGTATCAGAGCTAAGTATATATGTCAGATTTAAACCAAAAAAAATTGTTAACAGAATAGGACGATGGAAACGTTACCGGCATTGCCGACGTCAGTCATCAAGCAAAAAAAAAAAAATTACGCATTATCTACTCAGTTTTCCACTTTCATTATATAAATACAACTTTTTTCTTTTATTTCACTTATTGTTTAAAGTGTTAATTTACGATGAACAATTTTTATTGCAAAATGCATATCAGACAATTCTGTTTTCGCTCTTTTTTCTCGTTCATTTTTTCTCACACAAATATTGGTATTTTGAGTTGTTTGAAACATAATAATACAGTAAAAATTACAAATTATCAGGAACAGAAGAAAAAAAAGGTTTTTTAGTTTTTTTTTTCTTGTATTAAAT